GTTTGTCCCAGCGGCACCTACCCTTTCTCTCCTTAGCTCCTTCCCAAGGCCATGTAGTGTGGAGTTTTGTTCCAAAATGGCCCAAATGCATTTGGTTTAATGGACCCCTCCCCTATTTTTTTATTTTAACTTATCTACACCGAACCTCCAAGGCAAAGGCTTTGCAGTAGGGCCCTTTGCTTAGACCCGCGTGCCAAGGCTTTGGTGGCCCTGTCTTGGCAGGGGATGTTCTTTAAACTGACCTGGCAGATGCATCTGACGTGCCAGACAGGTCAGCTCGTTATCGGCGTCGGAGACGTATGTGGCACTGCCAAGATGCGGTGACGGCGCTTCGGCAGCGGCCGCTCTCCGGCACCGGGCTGTCTGGTGCTCTGGGAGGGTGAACCGAAGTGGGGATTTGCTTTTAGAAAGTGATGAAACCCAAGGGCCCCCGTCCGTCCGCTGTCATCTGAAAAATCTCTTTCTCCTTCTTGTGCCAAGTGTTTAGCCCTTGGATTTTGAGCAAATTCTGGCTTAATTGTGTTTTTTTTGTACTGCCACAAACATCTGAAGCCCCGTCTGCAATCAGGACCAATTAGGTAATTAGAGACATGCCTTGCCCCAGAGCTGACAAACTTGCAAGACGGGAGAAGGAACCCGCGGGTAGATTTTTGGGTTTGTTTTTAAAATGTATTAAAATTTGTTAATTTTTGAGGCTGGTTTATGATCATTCCAGAAAATGAATTGACAAGAACTGAAAAGAACGACCCATTTGTGCAAAACGTCTGTTTAACACAAAAAAAAAAATCTTTTTTTCTTTTTGCTTTCTGATAGTCTTGTGCTTTGAAATTGCTTCTTTTAAGATGGCTGAATTGTAACATAAGAAACTGGCCTTTTTTGTTTGGTTGGTTGGGTTTTTTTTCCCATTTTGCTGACTTTTGTCATGGTATTCAGATTTGCATCAAAAGAGATTTCACTTATGCAAGTCTTTGGATCTGGAGAGAGGTTGGGAGGGTTGGTTTATGAAGAGTAATCAAGAATTTTGAGATACATAAATTATTTGAAAATTTTTAGGGAGTCCTTTAACTTTCCATTTCATTTGGGTGATGGTCTCATTGTGCTGAATTTTCCAGTTAAGCAACAGCAGTGGTTGTAGAAGTGTGCAGACACACAGCCCAATGCCGGCGTTTACCATGGCTTCTCTTCTTCTTTTCTAGAGTTCTTCAAAGAACTTCTCGAAAACGCCGAGAAGTCGCTGAATGACATGTTTGTGCGGACGTACGGCCGTTTGTACATGCAGAACTCGGAGCTGTTCAAGGACCTCTTCGTGGAGCTGAAGCGGTACTATGTGGGTGGCAACGTCAACCTGGAGGAGATGCTCAACGAGTTCTGGGCACGCTTGCTGGAGCGCATGTTCCGGCTGGTCAACCCCCAGTACCACTTCACGGACGAGTACCTCGAGTGCGTCAGCAAGTACACTGAGCAGCTGAAGCCCTTCGGGGACGTGCCGCGGAAGCTCAAGCTACAAGTGACACGAGCGTTTGTGGCCGCCCGCACCTTCGCACAGGGTCTCGCTGTCGCAAGGGACGTCGTGAGCAAAGTGTCTGCGGTGAGCTCCATCTCGTGATTATTCCCATGTCCCATGGACCTGCATAGGTAGCATCTTTCCCTGTTGTCTGGACTAGGTACCTGAAGGCGTTGCTGGTAGTTGAGTGCAGGTGGAACCAAATTCCATCTATGTAGGTTGTGCAGCTGCGTGGTAGAGTCACGTTCTGGGGACACCACCATCCAGTGCTGCAGCCCAGTACAGGGATGTTCCCCAGGTTGATGCTGTCCTCCTGTCTAGGGAACAGCAACGAGCAGGAAATTAAATACCTTCTGCAGTGGAAATAACCATGTTTGCTTGTGTAATGGCTGTATCTTCTTCTTAATACTGCCTTCAAATTACAGCGAGGCGTGGATGCTATGGGCATCTATTAAGGAGCAACTGATGGTTTGCTCCTTGCTCCCAGGCACGGGGAGAGGCTGTCAGCATGAGCAAACAGTACTTTTATGATAACAGTAAGCCGGAGCTGTATGCACAGGGCAGGAGCCAGTTGTACTTGGTGCCACACACGCAGCATGAGTAAGACCTCAGACTTCTATGGTGAAGTCACTGTTTTTGGGGGTCAAACAGATGTGAAGTGTTGGTCACTTAAATGTTTACCTTCCTCTCCTTATAAACCACTCGGGAGTGGTTTAAGTGGGGTGACTTCTTTTTTTTGACATGAGATTTCTCTGTAACTTAGTCTGAGTTGTATGGTATAGGGAACAGGTGTAGTCAATAATCCCCTTAAAGTGATTGTGGGAGATAACAAATATTAGTGATTTCCTCTTAACAAACTCAGCTCATTTCCTGTGGGCTATAGAAGATTTAGTAAATCATTTAATCGGGCAGAGAGAGGTTTACTTTCTCTCTACCTGGTTACAGAGTAATAAAACGCTAGGCTGAAAGGGCAGGCAGTAGTTTGAATCGCCCTAAATGGGCTGAAAGGGCAGGCAGTAGTTTGAATCACCCTAAATGCCAGGAAGGGAAGAAAGGAGGAAAAAAAAAAAAAAAAAAAAAAGTAGTAAACCAGAAAAGAATAGCTGTTCAGGTACTCTTAGAAGCAGAATGCAATTTTGGAGGCAGCACAAGCAGCATCGTTAAGTGAGATAATAATTCAAATTGCTTTGACTTACAGGGATAATATTAAAATACTGTCTTTCTGGAAAGAAAAAAAAAATCTGCTTCCATGTTAATTTTTCTTGAAGAGAAATGAGAAAAACAGCCTGCGATAAGCCTGCATGTGTGCGACAGGGCAGAGAATATTAGCAAGGAAAGAGTTACCGTGCTAATATATCCAGGCTCCAGGAGCAAGTTGTAAGTTAGCGGTGGCAGGTTTAAGTCCTTGGACACCTTGAGTCCCCATTTAATAGTGATGACTCTCACGTGAGACATGTCTGTGTCCCGCTGCTTGAGGATGGGTGCTGTGGAGCTCCATGGGTGACATGTGGGGTCCCTCTTATGAGACCACAAAATCCTCCAGCCTCAGGGATGCCTTCCTGTGGTGGGAAGGAGATGTGGGAGGGAGGGTTGGTGCTGGATGAGGCCAAAGTTGTGTCTCTATGTCAGGTCACTGGCCAAGCCTGCCGACATCTTGGTTGGGGTTTCAAATTTGGTGACTCTTGTTTCTGCCTGTGTAGCGTTGTGGTAGATGTTGTGGTCAGAAATAAAAGGAAAAAGGGTTTTCGCTGCTGGAGAGTGCGGATGAAGTATTCGGGTGGGAGGTCTGTCCGCTAAGCCCCAGTACAGTTTTCGGGAATGTGCAATCACTTGATAGGCAGTAAACGTGCATGGGTGAGGGATCGTGTTTATGCTCCATCTGCTCAGAATTCATCAAAACGTCTCCAGACTTGACACGGCACCACGAGGGCTACGGTCCCCGCATCTGTTATGAATCAGAGTCATGAACCCGAGGTGGCTTTTTTTTTAGATCCTCGAGTGTAGAGTTGCCTTCAGCTCTAGAATTAATTGCTCAAGTGTGGAAGGTTACCCAGAGACCCACTCAGCTGCAAAAATAGCTCACGCACCGTGGACGATCACAGTTACCACACTTTCCACTTCAGTTTCACAAGTTGCACTGGAAATCCTGCAACAGATTGACTTTTTGAAGTGATAGCAAAAGTCCCTGCTGCTGAATACCTAAGCTTTAGTTGCAGCAGTGGAAGGAATAATAATTTTTTCTATAGTGTTGTAATCTCATTCAGTGGAAATCTAACATCACGTTTCTGCAAGACACAATGCATGTTTAAAAGCTGATGTTTTTATGCCTGCTGCATTGTGGTTGTGTTTTGGGGCTTCCCACATTACATATAGATTAGCCTGGCTTTGCTGAGCTTTAGATAATGACTCTATTGACTTTGCTTCCTTATTATTTTTACTCAGGAGTTGTAGTGGGATGACTGCTTGTACCAGGGATTAACTTGAGGGATAAATCTTCTATTCTTCTTTATGAAAAAAATGTCTAAAGTAATGCAAATGAGTTTTACTTCTAATGCGTTTTGTAACGAGCAAGTTAAAAATGTTTAATTGAAAATCCTCAGGAGGAGAAATACAAACTACTGCAAGACCCAGCTGCTTTTTACTTTCCCGGGGTGCTATCAGGAGAGCAAAGAGCACTTTACAGTAGAACAACCTTGATGGCTTTTTAATGATCCTATATATTTTTACATCTTCACTAGGGAGATGCATTTAGAAAGGTATCGTTCTTGGGTGAGTTTGGGAGTAAAGGAGGAAAAGAAGAGCGAATATTGACAAGCTGCAAGTATGCTTGATTTCTAAGCCAGAACGCTAGGAAATAACTTTAATTCGGCATTGGATGGATCAGAAGCCGTGTGCTGCTGCCCAAACGCACAATGGAGAGAAAGCACAGACTTTTTTCAAACTGTGTCTAAAAACCACAATTTTGATGCTCAAGTCTTCACCCCTCAAATTCCCTCCTTTGGACCCAAAAAGTGCAAAATTCTCCAGATCTGTCCTGAACAGCAGATCCGAGAAGAAAACCCTGGATTCCGTTTCTGCCTGGTAGAGACGTGTCCTGCATCTGAGGTGGGCTGCGAGGGGCTGGGGGCCTCCAGCGCTTCCCTCTGCCGCCTGCTGACGCCTGATGCTTTCTCTCTGACCTTCCTGCCCTCGCCTTCAGGAGACGGAAATCTGCCCATCCCCTAATGGCTCGCTTGCTACTTAGCCCTTGACAAGCCCTAAAATCAGCCAGGTTAAATTGCTGCCAGCGGTGACATTTCCTGCCCCAGCCAGGGGTGGAAAAAAGGAGCAAATACAAGCCAGAGCCCAGAGTGACCGAAAAAGGGTGAGAACCTGCAAGTGGGCAGTTCTCAAGCTGCAGAGATGTTCCCTTAATTAGTTACATGCGATTAAACCCACAGCCCGGTCGAGGGTCGTGACACCTCTGAGGGCAAAGTGCCCAGGGGCTTGTTGGGTGCAGGTCAGCTACAGGTATGGGATGGAGGTCCCTGTTGTGGGGGGAGAAGAAGAAGGTGAAGTCAAGGACTGAGCCCCTGTAGGGTCGGGAGGAGCCTGCTTGACCCAAGGGCTGGGAGGGGAGGTCTGGCTGGAAGTCAGCAGCGGAGGGGCGTGAAGGACAAAGCGTGCAGCCACGCAACATCAAATCCCTGCATTTGCGTCACCATCTCTCCGCGGAGCTGCAGATGGGGACGTGCGGATGGGACCTCCTGCAGTTGCAGTGGTGGTGAGAGTTTTCTGCAGCCCCCCCAGGAGATTTATGCTGATGAACTGTTGTTTTGGGGTTCTCTTACCACTTTTCCCTCTTGCCCTTGTGTCCGATCGTTTGAGGAACTGTAGCGAGCTCTGGAGGCTCCCAAATCACCTCCCCAACAAGCATGTATGTGCTGAAAGCCACACGAGGTGCAGTTGCCACCAAAGCAGCTGGGCTGCTGGAAAGGGGTTTCCAGCCCATCCTTGGGAACCCTGGGAAAGGCAGCCGCTTCAAAGTTGTGTGCAAGAAATGGTGTTTAATTTGGAAGCACAGATATGAACTGTATGAAATAATGCACAGTTTCATATGAGGAATACATCTATCTCCTCATCTACTGTCCTGAAGAGACATTAACAGCCAAGAGGAAGCTGCTGGAGATGTTTGCGGTGGGTGTAGGAGGCTCAGCTTCCTTGGTATCGGCATTTCTTCCCTAATGAAGTGTGATGATAGCAGCCAAAGAGGGAATTTTCTTCAAATGTTCACGGAAGAGAATTGGGGAGGGGGTGGGTGATTGCCTTCCCACAGCCACTCCGAAGCTGGAGCGAGAGCCCCCTGGGTTTTTAATCGCCTTTGCTCTGAGCTGCCTCATCTCTAATGAGGCATCCGTGGGGCACAAGGTGAAGCGCTGAACCTGTGTAAACCAACCTACCGCTGGCCTGCCTGAGCTCCCTTACCTCCAGCTGCATCTCCTGAACCATGGCTCCTGCCCTTTTCAGCATGGATGCAGAATGTGGACCAGACATTAGCTTAGGAGAAGCGGTGATGAAAACAATAAAACACTGAATGAATAAGAATTAAGGCCTGTATCACCAAAAATACTAGGGCATTGAGCTCCTATTTCAGTAAATGTTGTGCCCCTTGTAATTACCATTTGAGAATCTAAAAGTTTAGTCGGAGAGCAAAGGTCCAATGTCCGTTTGTGCGGTCTTTGCCCTTGGTTTGACTTAAGGGGAATGTGCCCTTAATCCTTCGTCAGGAAGAAGTTCATGTTCCTATATCCAACGAAGCTGGGCACCCTTTGGGTAAGAGCAAACCCTCCCAGGGAAGTGACAGAAATGAAACCTGTTCCCTACATGCATTGAGAGGAGATGACGGGCAGATGCTGCTGCTTCATGGGCAACCGAGAACCAGCCAGAAGAGCCAAGAAGCCCTTTTAGTGTTGCAGAGGGGCCTCTGAAGAAGCAGTGCTGTCCAGGCAGCAAGTTGCAAGCCATGGGGCCAGGCCGAGGGGCTGCCGAGCACAAGGACGTTGCCTTCCACGTGCCAAGGGCAAACGTCAATGCAGAAAACAATA